TCCCCTCTCTTCCTCCCCTCCTCCCTTCCTCTTCTCCTCCCCTCTCCTTCCTCCTCCTCCCCTCTACTCCGTCTTCCATCAGCCGGCCGGCAGTGGGCGGCGGCGGGCGGCGGGCGGGGGGAGGCGGGCGGAGACGGTGGGCAGGCGGCCGGCGGTGGCCGCGGCTGCGCGCGGCCGGGTGCCGGCTCGTTTGTTTGTTTGTTTATATATATATATATATATATATATATATATATATATTGTGTTTCACTGGATGTATAATTTTTTAGATTTTGTGATTCATTGCATCGCATGGATCTGAGATGTATAATTTGTATAATCTGTGATATATTTAATTTGTGTGTAGTTTTTTAGGATTTGTGATGTATTTGATTTGTGTGTAGGATTTGTGATGTATTTGATTTGTGTGTATAAGTAACTTAATATTTGGGATGTTGATTTGGGGATGTGCATCCCATTCGATTCGGGAGAAAATACATGGATTAACCCTAGCCATTAAGCAAATCAACAACAAAATAAAAAAAATCTCGAGGAACTGTCGCTTGCCCTCTTTAGCCAACCGGTACTAAGATTTCCTCTCTTTACTCCCGGTTGGTGATGAACCGGGACTAAAGATAGCGATCTTTAGTCCTGAATTCGTAGTCCCGGTTGGAAAACCGGGACTATAAAGAGTTCTAAATCGGGAATAAAGAGCATTTCTCCACCAGTATATATCTTGGCGACGGGATGGCCGGCGTCCGTCTCCGTCCGTTCACACACCATATCAAGTTACAACGTACTAAGAGTTACTACGTACTAAGGCTGTTTAGTTCGATGTTAAAATCGAAAGTTTGAATAAATCGAGATGATGTGATAGAAAAAATAAAAGTTTGTATGTGTAGAAAAGTTTAATATGACGGAAAAGTTGAAAGTTTGAAGAAAAGAAGTTGAAATCTAAAGAGGGCCTAACTTCTTTTTTTTTTCTTTGTAGAAGTTACTAACATGATACTATGTGAGAGTGGAGTGCTTGATCTCCTCAGATGTCTGAGCTCCGGCGAAGATTAAATAAAATCCCATAACCTATTGAAAATGAAATTGAGACAGAATCCAAGTGCCCATACGTGTACTACTCCATGGCAAAGCGATCTCAAATTCTCAATGTTGTTGTTCACCGTAAATCTGTTTCCACATAATCGACATCTTAGACCAAAGTGAAACATTTAAGCACGTCAGTTAAAATTTTCACGTGAAGCCTATCATCACTTACTCTTAAGAAAAAAAAAACAAATCGTGTCTCTCTAGTCGTTTTTAGGAGAGATGAGAAAGTCGGGCCAGACAGACGGCTGATCATCTGATTCTGAAGCCCATCGGCCCATAAAAGAAAATCCAACCATAGCCTGACATCCCGTAGAAAAGAAGTCAATTGGGCCGGTAAAGCCCTATTAATATTAATTGGGCCGTGCCCCGTGGGAATCCAAATGTGCCCTCAAATTGGGCTGTGATGTTCCTACCGTGCGTTTGCTCCCCCTGGATTACGGCGTCCCGTTGTAATTGTGGGCTTCCAAACAAGACAAGTTGGTAGGCAGCTTGACTGCGTTAGTTAGAGCAGGTACAATAGCATGCTATTAGCTAGCTATAAACATATTTTAATGAGATAAACGATGAGAGAGAAGAACAGCGGGCTATAGATCTGTAGTCAGCTGCAGTACGGACTAAAAGACACACAGTGTGTATGACAGGTGGGACCATATATTAATAGTATAGTAAACAACTATTGTATGAATTGGCTATTAGATTGGCTATAGATGAATTGGAGCTAGTAGTGGGCTGTACTATTAGACTTGCTCTTAGTAGTAGTTCCCAACTCCTCCGCGTTTTTCGCGTGCACGTTTTTCAAATTGCTAAACGGTGTGTTTTTTATAAAAAGTTTCTATACGAAAGTTGCTTAAAAAAATCATATTGATCCATTTTTTTAAAAAAAATTAGCTAAAACTTAATTAATCACGCGCTAAACACTGCTTCGTTTTGCGTGCCGTGGAGAACATGTTCGGGAGCCCTGGCACGCAAAACGGAGGAGCGATTAGAGCGTGATTAATTAATTATTTACTATTTTAAAAAAATAGATTAATTTGATTTTTTTAAGCAACTTTTGTATAGAATTTTTTTGAAAAAAATACACCGTTTAGTAGTTTAAAAAACGTGTACACATTAAAACGAGGAGGAGAAGTTGAGAACTTGGTCTGCCGAACGCAGCTGAGCTTATACACTCAGCTGGCAAGGATTTATTTACCGGAAGCAAAGCAACGGCCTAACCATGTCATATCACGATTTTCTTCTCTATCAATAACGGGTACTTAGTGGCGGATTTACCGCCCGGCTAGAGCGGGCAGTTGTTCAGTCTCCGCGTTTAATTTTTTTTACACCAATTTGTTGTCTTTCCAGGCAAAGTTAGTAGGTCAAGCACAACTCACGCTGCTATAGCTAGTTAGCACTCCAGGTCTCCAAGAAGACAATGGTTGTGCATGAGAACCTCCCGGTTAAAGGGAGCGTCAGATAGCTTGATGTTGCACCGTATAAGTTTGAGAAGGGAACTGCGATTAATGTACCTCAATACAAGAAAGTCCTTGCTATTATCCAGCTTCTTGTCTTCTTGTCCCATAACAAGATTGATTCTACTCCATCCATCCGAAAATATAAAAGATTTTAGTTGGATGAAATATATTCTAGTACTAAAATTCTGAAGAGGCTCTCTATTTAGATTCCTATCACTAGGATGTCTCATCCAACTAAAAACTCTAATATTTTGAAACGAATGAAAAAGCTAAGAGATCATTCGGCACTTTCATTGCACACATCTCTACGATTGCTTAAAAGGATAAGTAAAAAAAAACTAAAACCATTCTTAAATATCAATTTTTCTTCAAGTTCTATCTTGTTGGATCCGGTATCTCTGTCACACGCAAGCGCCATCGTTGATTTGTATATGATAAATGAGCGACATAAAAACACAGATATTGATCGCTTGAAGGCGACACTCGGAAAAAAATCTTTGCATAGACAGTAAAAGGAAGGCCATCGCTATTCTCTATGAGTGGGTTGGTCTCAAAGATAAATGATTTCTCCTGCTCAAAAGTTTTCCCACACGTATAGAGACTAACTATATATTTATCAACAATTTTTTTTCTAAAAATTAAACATATATAATTACAATATAATCATGATGTAATTATATTATAATCTGTATGTAGCTACAATATAACTTACATGTAACTTCTAAAAATCCCTTTGTAACATGATATTTCCATAAAACGGAGGTCGTGGGACCGAATCCTTTTTCATGCGTGCGTAGGCGCTGTGATATTTTTCATTCCTTGCTTACACAAATCTTAAAAACTATCTAATAGTTCAAAATTATATGAAACAAGTTACATTATAATTACATACAATCTACAATATAATTACACTACGATTATATTATAATTATGTCGGAGAATGAACTCATCCACCAGGGAACCGTGAGGCCCCCCTTTGTGAGTTCGGCCGGGGGTAGCGGGTGAGATTCGAGGACTTGGTGAGCAAAGCTGTGTGATTTTGAGGGGATTCAATCCCCCAAAGACGATGAGACCAAAGGGGTTTATACAGGTTCGGGCCGCTAAGAAGCGTAATACCCTACTCCTGTGCTTGGTTGATTGAGTGTAGAACTCAAGTGCTTGGGGTTGCGAGACCCAAGCGCCAGTTCGCTTGGAAGTTCCCCCCCTCTCACTAGGCTTGGACCTCCTTTTATACCTCAAGGGGTTACCATATAGGCCCAACAACCTAACTTTGTCGAGAATTATTACAATCTTTGCATTAAATGTATGTCTTGTTCCTTAACTTGGAAGCCGCATACACGTCGCCTCGGTCGTGGGGCCTACCAAACCATGCCGCCTGACACGGTGGGCGCCCATGTCATTCAACATTTAATGGGTGAAAACTTCTGGGCTCCTATTACACCGGGAAATGGGAGCTTAGCTTTGACCAGAGCGGGAGGACCGACTCCGGCTGGTATAAGAGGATGAGAACCTCTCACCATCATTATTTGATGGGACATGTCAGGCTGCACGCCGCCTGACACACGAGCAGCGCACAGGCGCACTAGCCAATCCCATCGGTCATTTGACCGGTCACAGATCGGTTGAGTACACTTGCGGCGTGGCGCGACCGCTCGGGTCGCCATAAATGCGGGTAGGTAGGCACTTGTAGGCGGACACCTAACCCACCGTACGTGGTGACCTAGAGAGAGGGTTGGGGGATCCCGACCCCTAGTCATAGGAGGGGACGGTCGCCGCCCGACCTCGGGCCCGATCCCCCCTCGGGGGAGGGCCACGTGGCGCCTGGGGCAACCCTCTCCCTCTAGTCTCGGCCAGAGAGTGGCCGCCGCCCTATCTCGGGCCCGACTCCCCTTGGGGGAGGGCCACGTGGCATTGAGGGGCAGCCTCCTCCGACTAGTCTTTGGGAAAGAGTGGCTGCCACCCCACCTCGGGCCTGACTCCCCTTGGGGGAGGGCCACGTGGCATCGGGGGGCAACCTCCTCCGACTAGTCTTTGGGAAGGAGTGGCCGCCACCCCAGCTCGGGCCTGACTCCCCTTGGGGGAGGGCCACGTGGCATCGGGGGACAGCCTCCTCCGACTAGTCTTTGGGAAGGAGTGGCCGCCACCCCAGCTCGGGCCTGACTCCCCGTGGGGGAGGGCCACGTGGCATTGGGGGACAGCCTCCTCCCTCTAAACATGATACCCCCGAACCCATATCACTGACAAATTATATCGGCTAAATTTTTAGAAAAAAATTGTCAATAAATATATAGCAAAATTGCACATGTAATACTAAATAATTCTAAGAAAAAATATATATCTTAATACTGTATTTTTTTAATAAAATTATTTATATTTCAAGACGAATGGATTACGAAATAAGTCCCACTAGACACAACATATATAACTGGCCGCTATTTTATCTAATGTCAATTCTCCTATATCTAGGCGACACCTACGAAGTACTCTCTCCGGTCATATATAGAGGGAGTACAAGATATTTCCATGAAACACTTTAATTTGGGCATCCTATCTCACAGAGGGAATTTTCACACGAAGAAATTATAAATAAATCAGTTTAATTTTCGTAGGCTTTGGTAAAATTCTCACGTCAGGAAGGAACAGCTATAGGTAGCGCGGCGTGGCCGTGTAAGCCTGTAAAATATCTCTATTTATTCTGCAATTTTATCTTGTGAACGTAAGTAACACAGGATTGAGCAGTAGCTAGTGACGATTATTAAGCCATGCACGGCGGCGGCGCCCGTGCGCTCGCGGCGGCGTTCGTGCTGGCCCTCCTCGCGGCGGCGCCGGCGGCGTCCGAGGTGGTCTGCAGCGGCCGGCGCTACGCGGCGAACAGCAGCTTCGATGCCAGCCTCCAGCAGGTCGCCCGCACCCTCCCCGGCAACGCCTCCTCCTCCCCGCTCCTCTTCGCGACGCTCGCCGTCGCCGGCGAGGCGTACGCGCTCGCGCTCTGCCAGGGCGGCACGAGCGCGGGCTCCTGCAACTACTGCGTCGCGCAGACCATGCGCGACGGGGAGCACGCCTGCGCCGGCGACGCCGACGTCGCCATGTACGACGACATCTGCACCGTCCGCTTCTCCGACCGGGACTTCCTCGCGGCCACCACCAACTCGCCGGAGAAGCTCGTCGTGGCCGGCTCGCAGTCGCAGAAGCTGGTCCCCTCCGCCGCCGGCCGCTTCTACCGCCTGGTCGGCGAGCTCCTCGACGCCACCGCGGACTACGCGGTGGCCAACTCGACGGCGCGGTTCGCCACCGGCGACGTCGGCGTCGGCGGCTACTTCGACGGCGAGCCGTTCTCCAAGATCTACGCCTTGGCTCAGTGCACGCCGGACCTGACACCGGCGCAGTGCCGCGCGTGCCTAGCGTCGGCCATGGAGGAGATGACCCGGCAGGTCTTCGCCGCCAGTTCGCCGGGAGGGAAGGTCATCGGCGAGCGCTGCGGCCTCCGGTTTGAGGTCTTCTCCTTCTACACCGTCGACGCCATGGTGCACCTGCAGGTTGCCATGGAAGGTGAGTGCACTCCGTCCGCCCTAAAATATAGTCTCTATGTTTCTAAATATTTGACACGGTTGATTTTTTGGTACATGCTTAACCATTCATCTTATTCGAAAACTTTTGTGAAATATATATATATATATAAGTATATTTAACAATAAATCAAATGATAGAAACGAATTAATAATTACTTAAATTTTTTTAATAAGATGAACGGTTAAACATGTTTAAGAAACCAATGGCATTAAATATTTAAAAACGGAGGGAATAATATATTTTAAGACGTATGATCTTTTACATGATGGACTTATCAGGCATACGCTATGATTTTTTTTTCTCAAGATGATGGGCATATGTTTTCATCAATGTAATAGTGAATGAATATCGAACCTGCTACACAAAAGATATGAAGAATATCATTACTCCCTTCAGTTATAAATATTTCTGTTTAGCACCTCCTGGCTATTCCCTTTTTTTTTCCTCAACAAATATGAAATACTAAACTGAGATTTATCTATCATTGTATTCCAGGCAAAAAGAAATCAACCCCGGTTCTTGCAATTGTACTTCCGATAGTATTTGCTGGATTACTCACAATCATAATAGTTAGTTTTTATATTTGGAGGAAGAAAAGATTGCCGACCAAAACACCACTCATCGGTAAGACACTACAGCATGATATAACACTATTCTTATCTGTTTTGGAAGAAAAACATTAACAGAAAGAATGTGAAGCCACACAAAATGGAATAGTGCTAATAAAATATATTTTTACGGCTATTCCACTTCAATGGTGCAGAAAATACAGAGGACCTCGAAGATTTTGAATCTATCTTTATTGATCTTTCAACATTGCAATCAGCAACATCCAACTTTGATGAAAGCAATAGGCTTGGTGAAGGAGGATTTGGTGTTGTTTTTAAGGTATATATTCTTGTGCCAAATTTTCCCCCTTTGACACGAGGAGAACCAATGTTAATTTATTCGCACACTAAAAAAAGACGTATCTTCTGTCAAATCATTTAATAAGATCTAGCGTTTGATTGCTCAGGGTGTCTTCCCTGATGGACAAGAAGTAGCAGTAAAGAGGCTTTCCAATTGCTCCAATCAAGGACTAGGACAATTGAAGAATGAACTGTCTTTGGTAGCCAAGTTGCAGCATAAGAATCTTGTTAGGCTTATTGGTGTCTGCTTGGAAGAAGGAGAGAAGGTGCTTGTTTATGAGTACATGCCCAACAAGAGCTTGGATACTGTTCTTTTCGGTACTTGTCTTCACTTGAATTTTATCTAACATTGTAAATAAATTGTTATTTAAACTGAAATTTTTGTCATTTGGCACTAGATCCAGAGAAAAGCAAACAACTTGACTGGGGAAAGCGATACAATATTCTATATGGAATTGCTCGAGGCCTACAATATTTGCATGAACATTCTCAATTGAAGATAATCCATAGGGATTTGAAAGCAAGCAACATTTTACTTGATTCAGACATGAAACCCAAGATTGCAGATTTTGGGATGGCAAAGATCTTTGGAGATGATCAAACCAGGAATGCCACAAGCCGCGTTGTTGGAACGCTGTAATTGATCTGTACACTTGCTCTAATTCGTTTCACTTGTCATGGAATTATCATGAGTACTAAATTTTATGTTAAAAAAAGTGGTACCTCCTAGTACTTCTATAAGCTAACTTTCAACTGAATCTTGTCACAGTGGTTACATGTCTCCGGAATACGCTATGCGGGGGCAGTACTCAACGAAGCTGGATGTCTTCAGCTTCGGCGTCCTGGTCTTGGAGATCGTGACAGGGCGAAGGAACAGTTATGCGGTGGTCTCTGAACATTGCGAAGATCTCTTCAGTCTTGTAAGCAAACACTCCTCGCATGCAATTAGTATTTTGTACTCCCTCCGTTTCACAATGTAAGACTTTCTAGCATTGCCCACATACATATAGATGTTAATGAACCTAAACACATATACATGTCTAGATTCATTAACATCTAAATGAATGTAGGCAATGCTAAAAAGTCTTACATTGTGAAACGGAGGAAGTAGTAGCTTTTCTTAATGCTAATCAGCAACTGGTATGATAGGTGTGGAGGCACTGGAATGAGGGAACAGTTACAGAGATTGTGGATCCTTCTCTGGGCAACCACTACTCTAGAGGAGATATCCTGAAATGCATCAACATTGGGCTTCTGTGCGTCCAGCAAAACCCAGTGGACCGGCCGCCGATGTCAGCGATCATCCTTATGCTCAGTAGTGGCACCGTCACTCTGCAAGCACCCTACAGGCCGGCATATATCTTTGGCAGGAACAGGAGCTACACGGAAACAATGGACGTTCCATTACCTTCGGGGCCTCATTCGTCGATCACTGAGCTTGAACCTAGATAAAGTCATTGGTCATCTAACGATAGAAATGGATGGGGTTGGAATTCATCGGTACCCGTTGTCTCAGTCTAATTAAGTGTCACGTCTTTAGTTGAAAATTAGCGGTTACATGCGCGACCATCTTACTCTCTGTTAGAGCATCAACGACAACCTGCGTGAAGTCATCAAAGCACTAGGTGCAGGTCTCGTACGATGACGTACGATTACCAACGGGGAGAGGTATTAATGTATGATAGACTTTGCCAAATGTTCTATTAGAAGTGTACTCTTTTGTCAAATGTACTTTTCTACTGAAGACTTAACTCTGTAAATCTATAGCAACTAGTCAAAAACTCTTCTTGTCACGGCATTATCACAAAAGGTACCTCATATTTTATAAATCAACAGATATACGATGTGATGCTCGGTGCTACGAGAGCCATATTTGAGCCTTTTGAGGACCAGGAGCATTTAGTATGCATCTAGCTTTCCCTATGGGACAGGCACTAACCAACAATTAAGTCATTTTGCATTTGCACCGCCAATCCAATCATGTTCTCCCTTGTCTCATTCAACCATTGGCAGTTTCTCAACATTTATCCTCACAATTTCATTGCACCAAATCTAATTGTAACAACTAAAAGGCCATGTGCAATGTTCGCCAAGAACAAGAAAGATATTTTAGCTCCTTTTTTTTGAACGGAAAGATATTTTAGCTCCTAGAGTACAAAACTACAGATACTAGACATAACTAGATGCTAATGCTATAAGATTGCTAACTAGAGCAATTTCATGTTCAAGGAACGGCTTTACTAGTGAAACAGAAAAAAAAAGGCGAGAGAAAAGAGCAGCAATGGAGAGATGAAAGGGATTGTCATGTTTTAATTGTTTTTTAGTTGCTAAATATTGCAAGAAAGAACAAAATGTAGCACATGTGTACCGTGGCAATGAAATGACAAACTTTATTCCTCTCACATTGAACATGCTCTAAGATTCAACTCATGATTTCACAACCAATTCAAACTGCATAGGTTCATTTCAGAAAAGTTTATGTGATCAGCCTACGTACGGCTGCTAGAGAGTTATCATCTCGCAAATACAAAATTAAGCCATGCAAATTGCAAAATATTACTCATTTTGTCATGACCAATTTTCAAAGTACGCCTACGGCTTAAGTTTGTGATTATTTCTCAAGTATTTATGTTTTTGCAACAATGTTAGCAAAGAAAGTGATAAAAACTGTGGATATCACCGAGTAAATTCCACAAATATCTAAGTGTATGATGCGATGCTCGACTGCATACCCACCAATCACCATATATGATGGCCTAAAGAACATTGACTCTTGTGAAGACTAAACCTTTCATGGGGCCCGGTATAGTACCCCTTCCGTCGTAGATCAGACACTAGCCAGGTCAAATGCAACCTTGTTCACACATGTCTCCCTCAACCACGGTTGTCTCCATATTGGGTCTCATCAGGTTCCCCCTGTCATTTGGTTTCAAGAATTTCTTGGCTGGCTCTGACAGCGAGATCTCAGGTCCCATCTAGATAGATTGTTTCTCCATGTATGGACTGTTTTTTGTCTAGATATGGTTTCTTCCATATTTAATTTTATCAGTGTATGGATTAGATATATCTCCTACATTTGGATTCGCATTCTCATTTTCTTTTCTAGTCCAATTGTTTTTCAATTTCAAAAGTGGTCCACTGCCCAGCTATCCTAGCTCGGCAAGGAATTAAATTTGAAAATATACCGTTTATTCAATTTTTTTTGTTAGAAATATTCAGGATGCAAAATCTTTTTACAAATATACCATCGGTCTTGCACAACTATTGCGCGAAAATGATGTGGAAATGACGTCGTGACCGGTATCGCGCAGTGAAGCGCGAGACCACGCGGTCTCGCTCAAGGAAACATCGATACCGATCAAGCAACCAACGCTATCGCTCAAGCAAAGAGCGATACCGTGACTTGCCGATTTAATTAGCGGTTAATTATCTTGATTAGTGATTAATTAATTAATTAGGATAATTAATCACTAATTATTATTAGTTAATTGTTAATTAATTAATTAATCACTAATGAAATGGATCCCATTGGACAGTGTCGTTGATTGCTTCTGCGAGACCGTTTGGTCTCGCTCTTCAATTCCGAGAGACCACACGGTCTCGTGCCGTTGCTGCACGAGACCGTGCGGTCTCGGGCTTTCGCCGCGCGATACCGCCCGTGACGTAATCCCCACGTCATTTTCGCGCAACGGAAGTGCGACACCGATGGTATATTTCTGCACAAGTTTTTACATCCCGAATTTTTTTGAGAAAAAATTGAATGAACAGTATATTTTCAAATTTAATTCGCTCAGCAAGGGCAAACCAATTCTTTGCCTGATTGCTTGGTTTGCCAACCCCATATGTTTGGTTGGTTTACTTTCTTTGTGTACTTACCGTGGAAAGTGAATTTTGCCATTGAATAGTCCTACTCCTCTCACGTCGCCCTCCCCCGGCGGCTCGGGAGGCAACACGACCGCCGCCTTCCTCCTTCGCCTCGCCGCCGCCGCCTGAGAGGGCGCCGGCAAAGCCGTGCGGCCACAAAGATGGCGGCGACGGGGCCTCGTCTCGCCCATCCGGCGCTCGGTGGCCGGGGGAGTTGCCGGGGCAATAGCACCGATGGCCAGATCCGGGCCGTGCCGACCAGATCTGGCCGAGGAGGGGGGTGGCTGGTGATAGGGACTGACGGTGGCGGATGTAGCGGCAACAGCGGCGAAGTCCCTCTAGATCCGCGCCGCCTCGGCTGGATCTGGCCGGATGGCGGCTGGCGACACAATGGTCGGCGATAGGCCGTTGCCGGCAGTAGCATGTGGAGGTGGGGAAGGAGTCGAGCGGCGGAGAAGGAGACCGAGTGTGGGCGCGGGCGCGGCGTCGATGGTGGGAAGTGGGCGATGGCGACTGCGAGAGGAGGCACGGGCGGCCGCGGACCGCTAGCTAGGGAGGCATGGTAGACAACCGCATCTGGCCGGCGCGGCAGTGATTGGAGGAGGGGTCGAAGGCCGGCACGGCGCGAGGAGGCGTGGCCGGCAGTGGCGGAGGTGGGCATGGTGCAAGAAGGAACTGCGGTGGGCGTGGTGTGGTCTGCGGCGTACAAAGGCTGGCCAGCAGGGGCACCGGTGCAGTGGTCCCACATGTCGGTAGAGGTTTGACGGTGGTGGAGCATCGATGCGTCAGCCGTGAACTCGCAGGTGGAGGGCGGCGGGTGAGAACCTAGCCCGTCCTTAGCTGGGCCGGTAACGACGACGTTTCGAGTGTCCTCCCCTCCTGAGGGTGTTGTCGAGTTATCTCACCTTCTCCAGTGGAACTGCCGAGTGAAAACCTAGTCTTAGCTCTCTTTGAGACCTTTACGGATGACGGCGGTGGTTTTTCCATCGTTTATTTCTTTGGAGACGTCGTCTAGGCAACCTTGGCTGAATCCTCCCAGACTTTTGGTGCAATATCGCTCTCTAGATGCATGTCCTCTTGTCTCAGCATCCTAGCTTATGCAAGTTGGCCATGTCAGAGGGCCTATGGGGGAGATCGGTTCCATCTCTCTCACCCCCCTCTCTCTCTCAATCCCAAATATGTGGCTAGAGTTGGGGTTTAGTGTCAGTTGTTAGGGATAGGTTTGTGTGACCTCGACTGTAGTTCCTTTGGTGGTCTAGCGACGGCCGGTTCGGTGCTAGTTTTATCCTGGGTTTGTGTTTGGTGCTGTTCTTGCGTGGGAGGTGGAAAATCTTTGTTTTTTTCCTGGTTACGATCTCCCAAGGTTGTAATATTATAATTTTTCCTGCTCTATCAATATGAGCTTCGCACTTTCTGGTGTGAGTCGTTAAATAAAAAGGCTAGCTTTCCTCTAGCAGTTTTTTTTTTAAGTTCCAAACACGTAGCCTAGCCAGGCAAGAGCTGAGGATCCAAACATGCTTTGCTCTCACCTTGTCACTCCCTCCGATGTACTCCTACTAGAATAGGTAGCCACTCGCGTGTTAGCTCGACGCACAATGTTGAGCTGTAGTGGCAACATGCTGCGCGCCGTCCATGTCCTCGCCATCGCCGCCGCCGTGCTGACCCTCGCGCCCCTCGCCGCCTCGTACCCATGGCAGGCCTGCAACGGGAGCAGCAACTACACGGCGAACAGCGCGTTCCAGCGAAACCTCGGCGTCCTGGCCGCCGCCCTGCCCGGCAACGCCTCCACCTCGCCGGACCTCCTCGCCAACGCCACCGTCGGCGGCGCGCCCGACACGGTCTACGCCCTCGCGTTCTGCCCGCCGATCGACAACCAGAACGCCTCCGGCTGCCGCGCCTGCGTCGCCAGCGCCTTCGCGGACGCGCGGAGCCTGTGCCCGAACAACAGGGGCGCACACATCATCTACGACGGCTGCGTCCTCACCTTCTCCGGCCGGGACTTCCTCGGCGCCGCCACCAACCCGGCGGACATGGAGAGGAAGCTCCGGAACACCGAGAACGTCACCGTCTCCGACGTCGGCGAGTTCAACGGGGCCATCTACGAGGTCCTCAACGCCACGGCGGACTACACCGCCGCCGCGGCGAGGAGGTTCGGCACCGGCGAGATCAGCTTCGACCCGACCTACCCGGTCATCTACAGCATGGCGTGGTGCACGCCGGACATGGCGCCGGGGCGCTGCCGGGCGTGCCTGGCGGACACCATCGCCCAGATGCACGCCTACTTCAACCCGAACGCGCAGGGCGCCAGGCTCGTCGGCGTGCGGTGCGCCGCGCGGTACGAGATTTACCCGTTCTACACCGGCCGCGGCATGGTGCAGGTGCCGGTGAGCCGGCCGCCGGCGGTGCCGGGAACTCCCGGTGCGTTCTTGCCTTTGCTACTCCTACTTTATTATGGCTTTGGAAATTCTTTGTTTTCTATTTTATTCGCGAACGCGAAAAATAATTGCACGCTAATATATTAGAAGAGCATAGTTTAGTTGTTTTCTATTTTAGAGATAAACACAATACACATGTCTTAAACATTTGTATTAGTTCAATTCAAACTTTGTGTATTAGTTAGGACCGTTATTTTGAATTCTTTTTTAGTTCAAACTAATAGTATTATTTTGCTAGAAATTCCATTATTTGAAATATTGTGTTTGTTTTCAGGGAAAAAGAGTAAAACTGGTAAGATTCTTGCAATTGTACTACCGATAGTGGCAGCTCTACTTGCTAGCGCTATGATCTGCTTTTGTTGCTGGAGGAGGAGAACAAAAGCTACTAAGCTGTCACTATCATGTAAGTTACAAGAGACCGAAATTGTTGAAATTTTATCAAAAATATCATTGGTCGCCTTTCTTTGCAATGAGTTCAGGAATCACAGAGAGCATATGTAACATGGAAGATATATTAATATACGAAGGATTCACTAGTTTGGTTTAAATACTTTAATAATCCAGCTTACATACTATCTTCTTCTTTTTTTAAAAAAAAGAGTCTAATTGTGTTCTTAGATATATTCCTAAATTTGTGCTTTTTATGCCATGTTTCCTCCATGAAGTACAAAAATATTCATCTCTTAAATATTTGACATTTCGGACAATTTTGAAAGTTGGTCATCAATAATTTCTCAAAATGTCTTTTTTTTTAAAAAAAAAGATAATTATATGTGTAGATTTGTATTCAAAAGTACTATCAAAATATCATAAACTTGCTAGGTTTTATAACACTGTTCTAATACAAATTTGATGATCAAAACTTTAAAGTTTAAACAAATCTTGTCCTTGTCATCAAATATATTTTTTTCTCCGGAGAGAGTATATATTTTAAACTGATGAGTTGTTTGCTCTTACGTACCATGACACAGATTCTTCTCGTTCTGAGGACATTCAAAACATCGAATCTCTTATTATGGATCTACCGACACTACGGATTGCCACAGATAACTTTGCTGAAAACAACAAACTAGGTGAAGGAGGATTTGGTGAAGTTTACAAGGTATATGGACATGAATTTCTGGCACATGATTGTGGATTAATTTATTAAGTTTCTTCGGTTGTAGCATAAGGTTTTAGTCAATAACATGTTAATTTGTACAGGGATCCTTTCCCGGTGGCCAAACCATAGCTGTGAAAAGGCTCTCTCAGAGTTCTGGACAAGGCATAGGAGAGCTTAAAAATGAACTGGTTTTAATTGCCAAGCTCCAGCACAAGAATCTCGTGAGGCTCGTTGGAGTTTGTTTGGAACAAGAAGAGAAGCTACTTGTCTATGAATACATGCCTAACAAAAGTCTAGACACATTTCTTTTTGGTATAATCATCTTTATTGGAATGCATTCAATTAAAATATATTGATTTGTTCCTATAAGATTGAAAATAGAATTATAATGTTCACATGATGATGATGTTTTTTACTGAACTGCAGACCCTGAGAAACGCAAACAAATCGATTGGGCAAAGAGGTTCATGATAATAAAAGGAATCACTGGAGGATTGCAATATCTGCATGAAGATTCTCAATTGAAGATAATTCACCGTGATCTAAAAGCAAGCAACGTTCTACTGGACGCAAATATGAACCCTAAGATTTCAGACTTTGGCTTGGCAAGGCTTTTTGGAGATGATCAGTCACAAGAAACAACTAACCGCGTTGTTGGAACTTAGTAAGTATCATACTATATTAATAGCATGCTCCAAATGATTAAATGATTACATATTTACATTTGACGATATTTTGTCTCTTGTAGTGGATACATGGCACCAGAATACGCTTTACGTGGGCAATATTCAATAAAGTCTGACGTATACAGCTTCGGTGTGTTGCTTTTGGAGATCATCACAGGAAGAAAAAACAGTGACTCCTACAACTCTGAACAAGCTGTTGATCTTCTGAGCCTCGTGAGTATCTTACCTTACCTCACAATCGCTAGCTACTTCTAGTGGCAACGACAATTTAATCTAACAAGCATGATTATATTGATGCAGGTATGGGAACATTGGGCAATGAAAACTATCACGGAGATGGTTGACCCATATTTGAGGAGTGATTCTTCCTCTCTAGATGAGATTTTGAGGTGCATTCATGTTGGACTTGTATGTGTCCAAGAGGACCCTATGGATAGGCCAACTCTGTCAATGATCAATATCATGCTTGACGGCAATACAGTTTCAGCTAAAGCTCCATCGAGACCTGCATTTTTCACAGAAATGTTGGGCAATATTAATATTGGTTCAAGCATGTATTCCCAACCATACCCTGTAACCGACTCCACGGCCAAGCACTCGACGGCCATGTCACTAAATGATGTGACAGTAACAGAGCCTGAACCAAGATAAGTCATATGCATTCCTTGTTTGTATGAATATGTTGATGCACGAGGAAATAACTATGTGATCTGTAATTCGAGTTAGATGACTCCATGGTTGTGTATTTATTGTATTTTCAGGACATATGTAGTACTTAATTGTAAGACAAACTACTTGTCTTGAGAGATAATATCTGTATTATATTATGAAGACGTATAAAAGAAACTCACAGAGGACCGACTTGTCTGACGTTTGATGAGCAATCAGCGTTACTCGACCCGCTCGGCCTATCAAGCCTTATTCATCAGTCAGCACTCATTTGCTTGTGCTGATCTGCTCTGGCTGGCTAAAGGCCATGCTAAGTGCAAGCTTTTTCTTTGGCTTGTGCTCCAACAGCGTTGCTGGACGGCTGACCTCCTGCAAAAGCGTGGTATTGATAACCACTCGCCCTGTACTTTCCGCACTCAAGAATTGGAGACAGTGAACCACATCCTACTTATTTGTGTGTTCGCTCGTTAGGTCTGGCACCATGTTCTATCTTCTCCTGGTTGGCCTGACCTCGCTCATTCCCGTGGTTGCTCACTTTAGGTTTGGTGGTCGATTGCTCGGGACTGCCTGCCAAAGCTTCTTCGCAAGTCTTCGACTCCCTTGTTCTTTAGGTCTCCTGGCATTTGTAGAAGGGGCAGAACTCCAGAATGTTCTTTTTCAGTAGTACTGGTGTCGGAGCCCAAAACTAACAACTTGGATCCGACTGAGATTAATGTATCAATCCCTGGATCAGTAAAAATTGATACATACAATATAACTGGTTCTTCATTGCATACGTTAAAGTCTTACAATACTAAGGGTTTTACAATAATAGGTACTCACCTATCTAATTAATATACAGCGGAAGTTTCTATACATTCTGATTAGTGAGGTATAACCTTTAGGGATTTTCTAAGTTATCAGGGTCTTCGTAGTAATAGTCATAAGGGTCCTCTTCTTGACCCAGATCTGAAAAAGGGGTCATAAGAGCAAGGATGAGTATTCACCATACTCAGCAAAGTTATCACAGAATTATGTAATGCATTGACATATAATAGGGTTCTTTGCAAAAAGCAGTATTGGACAATCTGGAAAAGTTATAGCAGAATTTATAAAAACATATAAATTTAGATTTCTAACCAGGGTACCATATGAGTCCCGGTACTCAACTCCATGAGTACAGCTATTCGAATAGTTTCAAAGATATTCTACTGCAGCAGATGTACGCTTTACCCACAGTCCATGACTTGCTGATAATCATCGGCTTTAGTCATGGCCCAGTATTAAGTCATTAACAATTATGGCACCTGTTCCATGAACTTATATCCTCATATGCTCTGAACGTAATGTTAACAGCAGCAAGAGGAGTTCTGGCGTTCCCGAGGTATTTAAGGGGAACTGATCGTATGACACCACGTCATCTCGATCAGGGTTTAGAAATATACCATATAGTTTATACTCGAGTATCATAAACCATTTACCTGTACATGGTAATGGTTAAAAGTTGCCCTTCGCGGCTATAGTTGCCTCCTGCGCGAGGACTTAAAAATAAGAACCACTATACAGAGGTGCCATATTATCAATTAACCTAATAACTAGGTCTGTCCCTATTCTAGAAACTGCGGTCGTACCCGTTCGTTCGACATAAGTACCTGGTAAAACTTATATCGATTGAGACAATACTAGCCACCCGGAAATCATCCAAATCTTACGTATTGTCCCAATCTAAGTATAGGGTATTTTAACCAGATTGTAAGCAAAATAAGCAATACTAAATTATCTGGGTTTCTATGATTAATTTATGCATAGAAAATAGAATATTGAATAGAAGGCTATAAATAAATAATTTGTAAAATATAGGCTTAAATGATCAACAGGTATATGGTAACTTGCTTTGCTCGATGTCTTGAGATTGATTGATATTATCTAAAGTGTCAGAGGAATCCTCAAGACCTAGGGTTAGACATATAAAATTTAAATTCAAAAAGGAGTTTAAATAAAATCCAAAAATAAGAAAAATAGAGAAAATAAAATGAAATGCAAAAATAGCAAAAAGGGGCTCAAAAGATAGAGAATGATTTTAGAAGAATATTGGTCCAAGTTTCATTGGAATTGGATCTATATTTTAAAAGATATGGGTTTCTAAAGTTTGAAAATCAAATAAAAGTGAGATGGCACTGTGTGTGGGTCCCACCTGTCAGTCTCTCTCTCTCTCTCTCTCTCTCTCTCTCTCTCTTCTCTTCTTCAACCTCCAGTCGTTCCCCAATTCAAGCTGGCGGTGCTAGGGTTGGCGATTGTGGCGGCGATGGAGGGGGAAAGTGGTTGCGGCCGAGGAGGGGAGGGAGATAGGGATCTCCGGCGACGGCGAGCGGCGGCGGAGGAGTTAATTTGATGCGTGGACGGCCTAGCAGCTAGGGCGGCGGTGGCACGGTTAGGCCGAGATGGCAATCGAGGCAATATGAGTTAGACATGGCTAGGGGAGGGGTTCTAGAGCATCTACGAGGTGCCTAGAGGGATTCCGGCAGCTTGCCAACCTTTGGCAAGGCGCGGAGCATAGTTGCCGACGAGCGCCTCCATAGGCGGCAGCCGTGCTCACGTCGGCAGCTCAGAGGGTGACATGATAGTGCAAAGGGATTGCTAAAATGGAATCTAGATAGTATGTAGATGGTTGAAACGGAAGAACTCACCGAGATCAGTTGAAACGACGGATTGCGGCCGGAAAAACTTCGCGGCAGCGAAGAACAGAGCAGCGCGGGGGCGGCGATGCTCGGCTTGGTGCGGCGAGGTAAAACTCGACGTAGGGCTTCAGTTAGGGCTTACTATGCTAGAACATGGTAGGATATAAGTGTTCTAAGGGTTATTTAGGGCGGAGGATGGATGGAGAGGGGTGGAGTCAATCGCGCACAAGGTGTTCGACCGACGGGCGATGGTGGTTAATGGAGTGGGTTGGCGAAGCAGAGCTTTGGGGTTGTAGGGCTTTGATTGTTGATGATGGATGATGGACAAGGAAGGGATTGGGGTCCTATTTATAGGGCTAGAAGGAGCGGATGAGCTCGGGCACCGTCATCGCCATGGATGAGCTCGGGATTTGGATGAGGCAAAGGTGGCAGGGGCTGAGAGAGGGCGGGCAAGATCAAATTGAGTGGCGGGAGGCCACGTTTGAATACTTACCGGCGAAGGATTGGCTTGACCGCGTGTGAATTCGGCTGGCGACGTGTTGGCGCCAATCCGGGCGCTACGCGCGGCGGCGGCGAGGGTGAAAACGGCCGGCTTGGGGGTGAATGGTTTGAATTATGAGAGGGGATACCACCATCTATCTCCAATCCAACCGTGCGGCAAGAATTGGCGCGGTTCACCCCGGGTAGAAGCGAAATCACACTCGGCGGCGGCTTGGACGGGAGCGCACGGCGTCGAGCGGTGATTTCGTGCGGCGGTCGTCGTCCCGGCTTTGTCGTCGTCAAGATTGGTGCGGCGACGGTGGGCTGAGGGCATCGGATGGGCGACGGCGCGTCAAGGCGGACGGGCACACGCAAGCAGCCCCGAGGCCGATGCGCGGCGACACGACGCGCGGCAAAGTCGGATGCCCGGGCGGCGCGCGCAAGGGGAGGAAGAGGCAAAGAAAGCTACGGTTTTTCAGTGGGATGTGGTCCCCTAGGACCAAATCTAAACTTTGCACAAGATTGGGTTGAAGGTGGGCTGCTCTAGTTGGGCTGGGCATTTTGTCGAGCACCTTGAGTGCAATGAACAGTAAAAATCAGAAATTTTGAATATTTTCCCTAGAAAGATTTGAATTTAAACTAGGAGTTTGGAAGGGTTTCACTAGGGTTTAAAGTATAGCAAATCCTCACTAATATTAGGATGAACTAAGAAAATAATCTATAGTTTGAATTTGAGAGAATTTGCCCAAAATTCACTAGGGTTTAGAATAAAGGAAATAGGTTAGAGTAAATTGGAAGGGTTCTAATACTTGAACCAATTTTAAATAAAAATCAAATAGATTTTTGAACCAAACAAATTTAATCAAAAGTCAGCATGATGCAGTCAAATTTTAGTTTAAAATTTAAGGATGTTACAACTGGACTTCATTCTCCAGTAAAATCGTATGTGATCTTCTACTGGCGCCACTGCTTTTTGGGGGCCTGTTGGGAGTTAGTGGGGTTCCCCACCCCACCCTCCCTCACGATAGGAGCGTTTCTCTTCAGCAGCTAACCTTTTCTTTCTTGTTACTTGTTTTTTTTTTCTTCTTTTTTCCTTGTCCCATGGCAATGGACTTCTGGCTATTTGCGTTGTATAACTAAACTCTGCTTTCTTCTTCTAATATATTGGCGTGCAATTTTTTTGCGCGTTAAAAAAAATCTATCACAATATTTTATACACATCAACCAATTTTTTTAGAATATTTAATGCATAATTTTCGTGTTTGTCCAACATGACATCATTTTCTTGTGAGGGCTGCTATTTAGCGCACACCTTTTTTTCCCTAAGAATTTTCATCAAAAAAACTTTTGCCCGAAAAACTTTCACCCGTAAACTTTTATATGAAGACTTTCATATGAAAAAGCATGTTCTGGGAATAGACGTGTGCCAAATAGCAACTCTATTTTCATGCAAGGAAAAAGTGCTAAAAAGAACATATACTACATCTGTGGGCCGAGATTGAGGCCCACACACAAAGGAATCCGTAGGTAAACGGTCCATCAAGCCATCGTCCGAAGCCCAGTCAACGAGTCAACAGAAGAAATTCGCCGCAACTTGCAGTTGCAGGTGCCCACAAAAGCATAAAGGGCGCGAAAGGCATGCGAATTCCCGTCTCCCGCCATCCCCCTCGCCCGCCAAAAGAATCCCCAAATCCGCAAATCCAACCTCATAAATCTGCCCACCATTTTCTCCCGCTCCAAATGCCCAAACCGCCTCCCGCTCCGCGCCAATCCCCATCGATCCACCGGCGGCGGCTGCGGCGGCCATGGACATGTCGTCGATCGCCTCCCGCCTCGGCCTCTCCGGCTCCCGCCCCGTCGTCCGCAAGGCCGCCGAGCTCCGCCGCCTCTGCGACGTCACCTTCGACTCCTCCGTCCTCGGCATCGTGAGCAACCGGGGCTTTTTCCTCCTATGCTGTTTCTTTTTGGTTGGCTTGGCTCGTGGTTCGTGTCTCTGAGAGATCTTTTGGCTTCGCGCAGGGGGAGGTGTGCAAGGCGATCATCTGCCTCGAGATCGCGGCGTCCAAGTGAGTGTTCGACGAACTGCCTTACAAGTGTTCGACGAATTGCCCGCCTAGAGGGGGAATCGTGTTGCTCAGTGGCGTGACCTGGTTTGCTAATCTGGTGGTTTGCGCAGGTTCCAGGTGATATTCGACAGGGCAGAGGCGGTGCGGATGAGTGGCATGTCTGAGAAGGCGTATATCAGATCATTCAACGCGCTGCAGAATGGTCTTGGTGTCAAGTACGCTTCTTTCCTCTTCTGTTCTACCAATCGATGCGTATAAACTATGCCTCGTCTTCGCTCTTGACTAATACAATGGAATTGCCTAATTCCTCTTGCAGGACTACATTGGATGTGCGTGAATTGGGCATCCAGTTCGGCTGTGTCAGGCTGATACCTTTCGTGCAGAAGGGATTGTCGCTGTAAGTTTGCTCTCTTGTGGCCGTGGAAGCTCGTTTGTACTGAAATCTTGTATTTGAGTCCAATTGTTCATTATGAGCTGTGCAATTTTGTTTGATTAAGCTGTAGTCGAGTGTTGCATACAAATTATTTGATGCCTTCGAACTGTACCTAATGTGTTTTTCTTTCAGCTACAAGGAGCGTTTTTTGGCGGCACTGCCACCTTCTCGCCGGGCAAGCACTGACTTTGGTCGACCAGTGTTCACTGCAGCTGCATTCTATTTATGTGCAAAGAGGCATAAGGTGCTAGCAGAATCAGTAGCAATGATTTTTTTTATATAGATAATTTGCATCTTGTAAGCTGATGTTTTCCCCTATTTATTTTGCAGCTTAAAGTTGACAAGCTGAAGTTGATTGATTTATGCGGAACATCTAGTTCTGAATTTACAACTGTAATGATTAACAGTCTCATATATTCACGTGAATTGCTAGTGCATATATCTTATCCTAGCACGCATGTCTAGACAATGGGAGTATGCATGTGCATGATTGGATTTATGCTATGGATCATCCTGTTTTGACTGTTAATTTGTGGTGGCTGCAGGTTTCAACATCCATGGCAGACCTTTGCTTTGATGTTTTTGGGATTGCCAAAGAGAAGAAGGATGCAAAGTCCATAAAAGGGAGTAGAGGTATCTGTGTTCTGCAGGATCCATCCTTTTTTTCCTTAATTTCTCAGCATCCTTTCTTCATATACAGGATTGACTATTCATTTCAGAATTGTACACATGACAACTAGCAGTGTTGAAGTGCATAATTTGCTTGGAATCTTGTGCAGTATACTCATAATTTGTAACCTTTGACGCAGAACTGCTGGATGTTTTGCCTAGCAAAAGGAAACATGATGACGACAGTGATTCATCTGGTGAATCCTCAGGGGATGACCAAGATGAACTAGACGTATGCACCACTTTAATATGGCTTACTTGCAGAGTATTGATAATTCATGTCATAAAACTTTAGGGATAAGCTTGCCTTATTTTGTAACTTGCAGAGTATGAAACTGCCTAAGATGCTTGGTATTGATACTATATATGAATTTTTTTCTGCAACATTAGGCTAACAATGGTGTAGTTTCAAACGTTCACTTGGTCACTTGCATTTTGTAAGATGAGAGCGAGAAAAAAAAGAACAACATATAAGTTTGGTTGGTTCTGTAAATTGTTTGGAAAAAAATTGCATGCTGCATTTGTTTAACCTGTAAAGAACCTTTTGATTTTGGCAGTAAGGTTTTCTGGTTACAAAGGCATAACCTTCTAGTTTGGTGATTTTAGCTTGTTGAAATATGATCACATATAGTTTAATCTACACAATGAATGGCTGCAAAAGCCGATACAAATGCATGGTGCCAGTGTGCCACTTATGAATACTGATTCCTTAATTATGTACTAGACTTAGAGAGGAGCTTGTAAAAATTTCAAGGGTAAAGACTCCAAAGTGAATATGATTGTGCATATTTCCGAGTAGTTTCTAATTTATTGAACCTGTAGCACCTTTAGAATGTTTCTGACCATATTCCTTTTACGTTCATTTGGGTTCTTTTTGGCGTCACAGATTTTTGTAGTCAAATGATATGTGCATTCTTCTGGACAACTGACTGATGCAGCTGTTCCTGTTTCTTCCAATCTCAGCTGCCAACTTACAAAAGACACAAGAAAATGGAAAAGGAAGCTTACAATGACTGGAAGTCATCGGTTCTCTCCAACAAGCAAACCAAACCAGGTTTGGACTCTGAACTGTTCTACCTCGTCCACTTAGGGTGTGTTTAGTTCCTGAAAAAAGTTAGAAGTTTGAAGAAAGTTAGGAGTTTGGAAAAAAAGTTGGAAGTTTATGTGTGTATGAAATTTTTTGATGTGATATGATGTGATGGAAAGTTGGGAATAGGGGCAAACTAAAAACGGCCTTAGTGAGTTTTAACGATCTAGCCGATGAGCTTATCGTGCTGTATTGTTGCAGACCCTGCAAAACCAAGGAAACAAGCTCAGCTTAACTTCAAGAAGAAGCCGTCAGACATGGCCCTAGAAGTATCATCGGCAGCCAACTAAATTTTTCTCAACGGAGGCAAAAAATGCTCTTAGCATCATAGAAGTTCCTCCTGAATGCATGAAGGAAATCGTTGCCCCCCTTTCTCATTTGTTCTAAGATGCTGACATAATGGTATCAACAAAAAAAAAGTTACTTTCTCGCGACATTCTTGTGTAAATGATGACATGACATATTTGTTTTTTCAAAAAAAAAGTGACTTTTTTAAATGTACACGAGGAATTCATTGAATTGTTCTATTTTCATGCTGTCATCGACCATCAGTCTTAAGCCAAGTGCTCTCTTATTTTATATCCTCAGTTGCCAGTTGCCAAGATATTTCAAGGTGCATGCTGCATGTGTCGCTGTTATCTTCTAATGCAGACTACCCAAGTGCACTCTGTATCCTTGTTTGATTTATAATGAGTTCTACAGATGCTGGTAACATTTTGTACTGCCTGAAAATTTCTTAGTTAAATTTGGCCAGATTTTTCTGTTGAAACCAGCGTTATGGAGATGAGATGAATCATGAATAACAAGGACAGCACTTTGTGCTCTGTCTTTGACGCCATGGTAACACGGTTCAAGGTTGTTTGACAGTCAAATGCCTGGCAATGAGACAATGATATACCCTCCACTACCAATAGATTTATTTTGTTTGGTTTGGAAAGTGCAAGCTTAATATGCTTCTTAATCTAAAGTAGTATAATTGAAGTAGTGCAGGGCTGCAGGCTTTTGACCTTCTCATTCCATAGCTGCTAACATAGCGATTGTCTTTGCAAAATATCATGTAGGTCAATTGCTTACATAATGACGATGAATCTATGAGACGTCCATTTTCATGCTGCCATGGGGATGGAGATCAACTCTTAATCCCTGGCGTAATGGCGTTAGGCATGCGTAGCCAGGCGGCCGGTGGGTGAAGAGGCATTAGTATCTTCTGCTGAAGTCCGAAGATATTTCAGTCGAATTTGATTAATACTAGTGCAATTGTGGAGAAATAAAGATTTGTTTTCTTTCTTAATCACAGTGACGCATGATTTGTCCGTTTCTTCTTGTTGCATTCCATGCTCCAAGTCCAACGTTGGTACTCCAAAGTCTACGTCAAATCACAAACATACCAAGAAACAGAAGAAAAAAAAACTCACTATATAGTGACAACGCATAAACGAAATTGAAGAATCAATATATTTGTATCATCTCACAACGTTGGACTTAGGGAATGTTTGACAAGCCCTAGCTCCGCCTTCATTTCTCATAGAGTTAGAGCGGACAAACAATTTCAGAGCCACTTAAAATAGAAATAGTAATAGAGTTGGGTGAAACGTTCTCACAAAATAAACTTGAAAGTTCAAATTGAGTTTATGCTACTTCATAACTCTATTTCACACCCAACTTCTAAAGTTAAATTTAGAAATTGAAACTCTAAGAAAGTCCACGCAACGTGCGGCAACCCAATCCAAGAATTACAAGCGAAATAAGCTACTTTAAAAATAGCCAGAAAAATACCTTCTTTTCTTTCTTAAAAAAAGGAAAGAAGTACATACTCAACCAAACCATAATAATTATAAAAAATCAATCTAATGTAACCTAACCATCCCTTAATTTAATTTTAATTAGCAAACGCAGATCTGGAGTACAGTAGCAGTCAGCATGACGCCTCCATTTCGTAGTTGGCTTGGCTGCCCCTTGGGTGCAGTGTGAAGGTGAGACTGAGACGTGGCCTCAAGCGACCTCAAAAGGGCAAAAGAGGAGCAAAACCCGTGGGAAGCATCGCAAAATTCGCCAAGTTGGATTAAACCAGTCGCGGGCCGGGCGGCGCCACCTGGACTCCCGTGCCAACCACGCGCCGCTGCTGGACTTGACCCCCCCACCGTTTGTGTTTGACGCAGCCGCCGGGTTGCGTTTCACCGCTCCGTCAAGTTCAAGGAACTCACTTCACTCCCCTGATAGAGTCAAAAAGGAAAAAAACAAAATATATTTGAAAAATTTATCAGTTTTGGCCGCAGACATGTCACATGATCCACAGCGAAATTCAGATTTCAAAGAAAAAAAAGAAAGAAAGAAAACTTCCTCGGTCCAAATACATAATAATAACCAGGATCTTTTTGGTAGATCTTTCTAACCTTTAAATTTAACTATAGAAGTTAGGTTTGGAATAGAGATATAGAGTAGCCTAAGTCCAGTTCTATCTCTCTAATTTATTTCGTGAGAGCGCTCAACTCAGCTTTGATACTTTTAAGTGAAGCTGAAATTATTTTTCTGGGCTTCAGTTCAAGTAGAAGTAAAGTTGAAGATAAAATTATGCCAAACAGATGAAAAGATACATCCAAACATAATATACGATGAAACACACCCATTATTATAAATCCGATTATATCTCCTAAAATATCTCAACCAGTACTACAAATTTTCTTCCAAGTGTAATAAATATCGGAAATGGATTAAAATCCCTTAAAGAAATGGATTCTCTGGAGAAATAGACGGCGGCGTGAGAGGTGACGGGTTTGGTTGGGTTGGTGGCACACGGGGCCCCGTGGGCGGAGGAGGGTGGCGTCCACGCGCCCACCCCACGCGCGTCACCGTCGCTCGCCCAAACTGCGGGCGCGTCGCACGCCGCCCTCCCATCGTTTTCTCCCATTCTTTCCCCCTCCTCCTCGTGCAACCACCCAACCACTGCAGCCAGCCACGAGCCGAGGAAGCCGAGGCCGAGGAGGAAGACGACGAAGACAAGTAGCGCAAGGAACCCTCGAACCGGGAGGCCGCCGCGGCTCCGATCTGGGAGGTAACCGGAGCTGCACCGCGCGGTGGGGGGAAATTGACCAGAGTTTGTTTGATTGATCGATTGATTGGGAAGTTTCAGGGGGAGGTCGAGATGGTGCCCAGGGACAGGGTGAATGCCGCTGCCGCTGGTGGCGGCGGCGAGGGGAGGCTGGTCCAGAGGTGAGTCGTTGTTGCTTTCCTAGGGGGGCGTGTATGGCTTCGTCGCTTTGTGAGGATGAGGGGGGAAAAAGTATGAACTGGATGGATTGGGTTGGGTTGCTCTTAGCTCTCTTGGTTTTGGGACGAAGTGGAAATTTAGTAGTGTTTTTTTTTGACATATTATGAGTTGGTTTTATGAGAGACGTAAACCATGAGATGGAAATAATGCTTTTAGGCCCTGTTGATGTGTATCATGTGCGTCCAATTTTGGAGTTGGAGGAGCCTAATTTGAGTTTCTGCCATACAGATTAAAGAATTCTCATATTTTAATTTACGAACTTAAAAGCCAGATGGATAATGTTGTTGTTGTGTTTGGACCATTTATATTTTTGTAGCACTGCAAATTTAATTGCTGCAATGGGGTTAACTACCAGAACTACTACAAATCGAAAAGCAATTCCTTACTTCATCTTGAGGTGTTCCATGAAGGAATATTTTTGTCCAAACTGCTTTACAATCACACTGATGTTTGAACTTTCTATGCAGCGGTATAGTGAACAAGAAGTGTGATAAGAAGGCTCCAAAGAGAATCCATAAATCAGAGAGGGAGAAACTTAAGCGGGACAAGCAGAATGACCTCTTTAATGAGCTGGGAAACTTGCTAGGTATGTGTTTGTTTCGTAATTGCGAATCCATAAACATGATTCAGATTGCACAATTGCATTGCAACATTTGGATTTTTCTTTCTGAAATATGCTTATTTATGTCATTCCATCTAGTGTACATACTTTCAATACTGCTAGAGACATCCATTTATAATCTTGTAGGAGTAGTTTGTTCTTATCTATTACTAAATTTTAAGATGGATATTACAAACTCTCTGGACGAGTTACTACTAGAAATATAGCAGCTGAAATTGATTTAGCAGTATTTACATTTTCATCTGCCACAACCTAACTTTTCCCTTTACGTAAAATACAAAAAGGAAAAAAAAAGCAGCAGTTATAGTGAGTGCAAGTATCATTTGTCTAATTAATTTTTAGTTGTCTCAGTTTCAAAACTGCATCGTTTTTGCATGCGGAATTATATTTTCCTAAGCAACGTGCAAACTCCTTTCCAGAACCTGACAGGCAGAACAATGGGAAGGCATGTGTACTGGGTGAAACTACACGAATACTAAAAGATTTACTTTCACAAGTGGAATCTCTCCGGAAGGAGAATAGTTCACTGAAGAATGAATCTCATTATGTAAGCTCTTCCGAATTGAATGTCCTATTTGTCTTCTTGCAAAATATTAGCTCAATTGTTCTCCTTCAATTAATTTGATGGCCATGGTCTGGTTAGTAATAATACCATGGATATGGAAAAATGTAGAGTAGTACATATGATCATGATAAGAGTTTCTTAGAATAGGGCTCCAATTATCATTACTTAGAAAACAAAGCCACCTTACTACTGATTCATAATCCTACTTTCCATGCTGCAAAACAGGTTGCATTGGAGAGAAATGAACTGCACGACGATAACAGCATGCTTCGTACTGAAATCTTGGAGCTTCAAAACGAGCTTAGGACGCGGATGGAAGGCAATCCTGTTTGGAGTCATGTAAACACCAGACCAGCTCTCAGGGTACCTTATCCGACAACCGGAGTGTTCCCAGTACAGCACCTGCCACATTTACCAGTCACCACGACGGCAGCATTTCCTCAGCAGCTACCGGTTATCATCGAGCAGCACTATGCCGCCACGCCAAGAGAACTTCAGCTCTTCCCTGAGTCTGCGACCAGCGAAGACAGCGAACCGTCACAAGAACACGGGATTTCTGACCATGTAACACGGCCTCAGCCAAGGTACCCAACACCAACGGCCACTTTGCCAGTAAACCTGTTTCCAGTGTTTCCAGGAAGACAAGATCAACAATGTAGCAGTGGTACTTCTGGCACTAACGAGGAAGACCGTATAGGTAGATCTTAGGTACACTACATAACGAGAGGTCCACACAATGATTTGAGAATTCCTTTAGTTTCAACGTTTAACTTTGCAAGTTTAGCAAATGTGAAACAGAGATCTGCGACTGTGCTCATGGGTAGCACCTAATCTGTATATCTGAATCTCAGTTTTAAGTGGTCAAATAGGTGACATTCAGAAAAGTTTGAAATGCTTTGATTATTCTGTATGATTTCTTTTCAGTAAGGACGCTTGGCAAAATCGGTCCCGTGATGCTCCCACGGTGGCCGCGCGTGAATCGTCTCTCAACCGTAAAATTGGGTATAAAGTCACTCTATTCGTTCTCACCGTTTTTTCGGAGATGGGCAAGTCTTTATACTCGGTTTTGTGATCGAGGGGTCGATGACTCAATCATAAGGGATGATAAATAGACTTATTTTCGAAAAAAATCTGTGTAAATTGGTCCTACAATTATCAGGCCCATGTAGATTGGGCCTGCTTAGTGAAGTCTCACGTAGCCCGGCCCAGTAAATCAGTACTAGGGTTTGCTCTGCTATATAACGAAGCTCTTGTTTGAGTGCGCCGCCTCTACCACCCTCCCCTCCACACCTTCTTCTTCTCCTCCTCCGGCGGCGGCGCGCGGCTCGGCGATCCACGGCACCTTGCCGCGGCAGCCATGGCGCACGTGAGCTTCTACCGCAACTGTAAGCTCCCCTTCCTTCTCCTCTGCTCTTGTAATGTGTGTTGCCTGTTCTATTCTGCAACATAGAAATGCTTCGCCTTCGTTCTCTCCGCTTGTTCTGAACTTGATGAGCTAGGCGCGCTGTGTTTAAGAGTAGTAGTATGATTTTTAGCCATGTAAACGAGTGGGTAATTGTACTGGAACGAGAGAAATTGGCTATGTTCTGATCCTCGAAGCCCGAAGCTTTGGCAATGCGGTTTCTTTTTCTACGCGAGTTAGTATGGCAAATGCTCAGATCAGATTGGGTGGGGGTGGGTGAGACCTCCGAGATATATGCTTTTGTCAATTTGATACCAGCCTGAAGAGAATATAGATTTTGCTTGGAAAATACATCACTTACTGATGTGGGATTATTCTGCAGTGTGACGTTTATTGGTAGATCATTGCCATTGCTGTGATTTTAAGACTAGGCTATTTATTTCTGTCACTTGACATTTTGGTGCAAGAGTAATGTACTTCTGCGGTTCTGCCTAGTGCCTACGCATTTTGGTGTTATCTGTAATATCACTAGTGATTTTACTTACTGTAATGTGTAGTAGTGATTTTACTTACTGTAATGTGTAGCTTATGCTGTTAACGTGCTGTAGATGGTAAGACTTTCAAGAAGCCAAGGCGGCCATATGAGAAGGAGCGTCTTGATGCTGAGCTGAAGCTGGTGGGAGAGTATGGAACTGCTCACCCTGGATGAGAAGAACAACACCCGTCGTATCTTCGAGGGTGAGGCGCTCCTCCGCCGCATGAACTGCTATGGTCTCCTTGGCGAGGGTCAGAACAAGCTTGATTACGTGCTTGCACTCACTGTTGAGAACTTCCTCTAGCGCCGCCTCTAGACCATCGTCTTCAAGAATGGCATGGCCAAGTCAATCCACCATGCACGTGTCCTTATCAGGCAGCACCACATCAGGTTAGTAATCCACACTTCATCTCTCACCTACAATACTCCTACGGTACTGTGCTTGTTAGTCCTGTTGCAAAACATCACCGGTGAATCTTGTAGCTCAGCATATGCCATTCTGTGTACTTGAATCATGTGTAATTGACAGTTTCCCTTAAAACTGTAGTACATATATATAGAAAAAATTGCGGGATATAAGTTATTGAGCTTATGCAAAGTTTTCCTCTCTTTCTTGCTTCGGTGTGTTATGCTCTGCTACCGCTAGTTCTATGCAAACTGTAAACCAACAAGAATGGCTTGTTTCCTTATATGGGCCATGTGATGAGAATCCATATGCAATACTCACGACGGTCATCTGATACACTTAGTGTGTTATGTTGCAGTCATATATTCTCTGATGCCCATTGTTGCAACTTATTCAGTTCTGAGATTTTTTTTTTCTTTGATGATTCTTTTCTGTAACCCTATTCGGTAATGTGGTTTCTACATGTCTATGCGTTTAGATTAATCCAGGAAACATGGTTCAATCTGATTTTTGAACATTTGCTCAAGTGTATACACATCATGTCCTTTTCTCTTGTATGATTTGTTCTCTAATTTAATTATAACCTATGCTTCTAGAGCAATATGCTAGTGAGTCCTTGCAGAAAATATCATTTGTGAATCTGTACTTTGGAATGTGCCATCCCTTGTACTTGGAAAACATATTATTGACAGTTCCCCAAAAAACACAGTCCATAGTTTTCCCCCTTTTTGCTCTAGTCTGTTATAGCCTCCATCTGCTAGTTCTATTCAAATTGAAATGACAAGAGTGGCTTGTTTCTTTCTACGGGCCATGTGATGAGAATCCATATGCAATACTCACGACGGTCGTCTGATACACTTAGTGTGTCATGTTGCAGTCATATTATTCTCTGATGCTCCTTTCTATGTGTAACATGGTTCAATTCTGAGATTCTTATCCTTGATGAACCTTGTGTTGTAAGTTCTCTGTGCAACTAACTAATGTGGATTGTTCTTATCTTCACGCATTTAGTTTATTCCTGGAAAAACAGTGCAACCTGGAATTTGAACATTTGTTCTAGTGTATAGCTGTCATTTCCTCTTGCATAATTTATTTTCTGTTCTTCCTTTGTTAGCAATGGTTGATTTTGTTGAATAAATCTTATTCAGGTCCCTTGATCTGGATCAAATGTTCAGGGTGTTTTTCTCTTGTGTTAGTACTAAGCGTGCACTCTTTTGCTACTTTTTTGCTATTTTTATGTGTTCCTACTTTTTTTTTTCTGGAGAGCACTTGATGCGAATTTGTATGTATTTTGTTTGGCACAATGAGGAGGTAATTTAGCTAATGTATCTCTGAGGTCTGAAGGCCAATGACTCCTATGTCCTTTTCATTCTGAGTGCCTTATTTTATTCTGAAAATGGAAAGATATGTTATCTATTTCCTGTTTACTTCCATTGGTTCGCCATCTTTGCCGCTCCTCCTAACAGAGTGCATTACAGTTATGGATGTAGTTCTAGCGCGATACATCCAACTTCTTTGAATCCTATGGTCTTCTTCACAGTTTGAGCTGCTGTTTTATCCTTGGATCTAACAACTTTGTATGTTACACTTTCTCAGGGTGGGAAGGCAGCTCGTCAACATTCCATCATTCATTGTGAGGCTTGAGTCTGAGAAGCACATCGCCTTCTCCCTCACCAGCCCGCTGGGCGGCAGCCCTGCTGTAAGAGTGAAGAGGAAGAACCAGAAGGCCTCGGGTGGTGGCGGTGACGGCGAGGAGGAGGAAGAGAAAGAGCTCGGCCATAGGAACTTAAGCAACATGATTTGATTGGAAGGTGAATTGAGCTTTAGAGAAATTTTAGATGGTGGCAATGGGGGTTTGTCGTTGAAAGAATTTTGTTGTCCTAATTCAGAGCCCTGCTTTGGGAGACAGTTTTGAAACCGTCGCTTTATCCCTCACCGGGTGAAACATGTGATTGACACATGTTTAATTTCAAGCCTTGTGGCATCTCCAGAACTTGATCAAATGTACGTTGTCGTCGATGGTGATTGCAACCAGGGTTTTACGTTTTTGACAAAAACCGTGAAATTTCGAGGTTTCGATGTGAGATGAAAGTATATTCCAACTGGAACTTTGATTGGTTTTTGATAATTCAAATTTGGTACAGTACAATTTGATCCAAATTTGCCCAAAAATGTCATACCGTTGGTGGTTGCAATCTAAACACAATAGAAAAGGTGAACCTGGGCCATGTATACCTCCACGCCGTTGAGGGCTCTATCATTAAAAGTCTAACAGAGGTCATCGAGTGTTGTTACATCTGTCTACAGCCTACTCTTCCTTCGTCCAAAATAAACCAACATGTACCTCGTAGATAAAGTGTAAAATAAACCAACCTTGTACCTCGTAGATAAAGTGTAAAATAAACCAACCTTATACCTTGTAGAAGAAGTGTTAAATTAATCTTGAGGTTAGGTTATTTTAGGACGAAAAGATGGCTCTATCATTAAAAGTCTAAAAGAGGTCATCACGTGTTGTTACATCTGTCTACAGCCTACCCTTCCTTCGTCCAAAATAAACCAACCCTGTACCTCGTAGATAAAGTGTAAAATAAACCAATCTTGTACCTCGTAGAAGAAGTGTCGAATCAATCTTGAAGTTAGGTTATTTTAGGACAAAGAGAGTATATGAAGTGTTGAATCAATTTTGAGGTTAGGTTATTTTAGAACGAAGAGAATACATTAGATGAAAAAAATGGCATCCTCGTCACCATTCGATGAGTTCCACGACTAATTGAGATTCGTGCGGATGTGTTCCACGTGCTTGTTGAGATTCGTGCCAGTACCAATGCATAGCACGGATGTGCTAGTCGTCGAGATTCGTGCTGGCACTACCCCCGCGTGCGTATTTATACGGGGACGCGCGCGATACGTGGAAGATTACGTGGAGAGTTCGTTTTCGCTAGCTTAAAACCTGGTAGCCGCCGCCGCCGCCGCCGCCTGCGGCGAATCCTCTCGTCGGCGAACATGGCGGAGATGGAGGCGAGGCTATGCAGCCTGTACGGCGCGGCCGCCGCCAAGGCCACCCTGGCGCGCAACATCCTCGCCCCCGTCGCCGGCCGGCTGAGCGGCCACCCGTCGGAGCTCCACCGCCGCTGCATCCTGCTCCGCCGCCTCAGCAGCAGCCGGAACACCGGCACTACGGGCGACCTGTGCGAGCGCTTCTCGGCGTACGCGCCCGTCGAGGCGATCGCCGTCTCCGGCGCCCTCCGCACGGCCGTCGTCGTCTTCGAGACCGTCGCCGGGTGGCGGGCGGCGGCGGCGGCGACGCTGAGCGCGAGCTGCGACACCGTCCCTCCCCTCTACTTCGGCCCTCCTCTCGTCCTCGTCGACGGCCGAGACATCAAGGTGCGTACTGCGCGTCCAATTCCCGTTCATCATCTCGATCTCGAATAGATCCAATCGATTTGATGATCATAGCTAGCTCATCAGATTAGATTGCAGTATCGATCACAGATCGAGTCGAATTGGTGCATGGCTAATTAGAAGTAATTTATTGACAGGGTTTAAATTTTCGGTTTAGTTGATTCTATCGGAGATCACCGATATACCGAAATTTTGAACAAATGTTGGTACAATTTGAACAAAATATTATCAAATTCACAAAAAATAAAAAAATTAAAAATTTCGGCAGAAATAATATCGTGGGGATTCAGATTAGATGACATAAGGTAGCCATGTCACAAGGTGACAGGGTAGATCTCGGTCCTCCAAAACAAATCTAACGGCTGAGATTAGTCCACGTTATCACGAGTTAAAATTCAACTCCAGTAAAATTTTAACTCCTGAACCTACGAGTTAAATTTTAACTCATGATGACGTGGACGAATTTCAGCCATTGAATTTATTTTGGAGGGCCGAGATTCAGGGTCACTTTGTGACATGACTACCCTATGTCACCCAATCTAAATCCTATCGTGGGGGGTAGGGGTGGGGTCCGAAATGACCGAAATTTTAAACCCTGATTATTGATATGTACCAATGCTTTCACAAAGAGAGCATCACAATGTGTAATGGTACTATACTCTTTAAACCGATAGGTAAGAATATCTTATTTCATTATAGGTATTTCATTAGAATTATTGGTAAAAAAATCTATGTGATTTAACATTAGTAAATAAAAAAAAGATGGATAGTGCGAAAAGACCCAATATCAAATTTATATTAAGAAAAAGAGTAAATTGCATCGCTGATACACGAACTTGTTAGGTGGGTGCAATCTAGTACACAAACTTGTAAAATGCTTGTTTTGGTACATGAACTTGTCTGGTGTGTGCCGGAGGAAGGCGAAAAGGGAACAACATAGCTAATCTTACTGATTTAGGGGCTCATCAGGATAATTATGTAAACATATATCTGAGAAGGTTGCTATTAGATGAACACCTCTTCAATAAAAATAGAATGGGATATAGTGATCATAGAAAATGATAAAAAAAAACGAGCAATGATATAAGGGTTAGAAATATATGAAATTCATCAATTCCATGATGAAGGATAAAATACATATCAAATTTATAAATATTACATGTCTTATGCATACTCACTACACGTATGCACGTCACATCCTAATCAACATCAGCTTTGTAAAATTAACATTACGAATCTATTTTGGTCCTCGTTCGCACGAACTAGACAAGTTCGTGTATCTAAACGAGCATTTTACAAGTATATACTAAATTACACCCACCTAACAAGTTTGTGTACTGCCAATGCAATTTACTCTAAGAAAAAGTTCGAGTACATCCGGCTAGAGTCGAACACAGTCGCGGAGAGCACAACAGCTACACCATGCCATCTGAGTTACACTCAGTCTAGTAAATTTGATAATTTGTCTTTTCGCTTTATGTCTTATTTTTATTTCTTCTTTTATTTAATCTTTTTTAATGGGCTATCTAAGAAAATTATCGATCTGTAAACTGCAGGTGGCGCTCCATCCGAAGAAGCCTGCTGCTGCTTCGCCGGGAGGAGGGAAGGACGTGGTGTCGTCGTTCGGAGACGAGATGCGGTGTGGCCGCCAGTGTTAGCCACGGCGTCGCCGGTGTCCATCCCATCGTTGTCGGGGTGGCCGATCGATATGAATGGTGGCCCTGGGCTCCCTCGCCTCGACGTCGGCGGCCGCAGCTGCAACAAATACGACTTTGGGAACCTCTTTTAAACAATTAGATATAGATGTCTACCCGTTTTTTATAAGTCAACTAAATGGTTATGAAAAAATCTCAAAAAAAAATTGATAAGATAAGATAGATTAATAAGGAATATATCATTCCATAGTTCAAAATCGTATTTTACAAGTTATAACAAAAAAATAACAAATTTATTTGCAAATATATGTAAACTAGTTACAGTTTAATTTGTTATTTTCGTTACAACTTACAGAAATCAAATTTGAACTTACATGTTTGTATAGTTTTTAATTTTTTTCTCATAACCATGTAATTGACATGTAAAAAACGGGTGGACCACCCGTATTAAAATCCATATCCCATCAAATACCACGGTGCCGGTACGTGACTATGTGGTATATGTGACTTACCGCAGCTGCAGCAGAACACGTCCAGGTGAACCACCGACATCAACCACGACGATTCGCTTGTTTGGTGAACGAGGATGAAGGATGATTTATAGATCAAACAACTCACCTGCTTTAATTTCTTAGAATTTTTTTATTGGATGTTTGATGCTTGTCTTGCTTGGATTATGGAGTATTACTTTTGAAACCCCGATTATGGAGTATTACTGAGTTTTTCTCTTTTTTATCTGTGCAAAAATGTATATGTGACATGAACATTACTAATATTAATATTTAGGGGCCCGACAAAACCAAGCTCCCTTGCGAAGCAGCTTCAAACAGAAGAGGAAAACAAAGAATTCATATAACCCAACACCCAACACATGGAAATAGATTCATAAATTTGATACAAGACAACTCATTGTTTATTTGATACTAGACAAATAACACTTAGAAAATCCTGCAAATTTCAGACCATAGTCTTAACGCCATCGCTACAACTCGATCGAGCAAGCGCTCAATGTCTTACCTCTATCGCCTAACCTTATTGGGCCTCCTCCCACTCACCCTACCCTTCTCTCCTCCGATCAATCTGCCACTACTAACTATCGCCTTCTAACTATAAGCTCCAATTTGACCTACTAGCAACTTCGGCCCACCATCCTCCTCCATCGTTGCGACTCCAGCGCCATACTCGTCATCCGCGTTCACCGCTGCCTCCCACGGTCATGCATGTAAGCTTAGCGATCTCCACCCCCTCCCCCCAACCCTAACCAACTCCGGCCCATCATCCTCCTCCATCCTTGCAACTCTAGTGCCATACTCGTCATTTGCGTTCACCGCTGCCTCCTACGGCCATGCATGTAAGCTTAGCGATCTCCACCCCCTCCCCTCAACTCTAACCCTAAACCCTAACACGTTAGACTATTTCCTGTCGTTGAAGCTTTGCTGGAGCTAGGTACGAAAAGGGTCTAGAGGAGGAACTAAGGTCGTTGGAGTATGAATGACGAAGATATAGGCCCCAATTTTCTATCAACCAAATAGCAATTCTGTACAAAATTACTGACAAAGGAGATTATCACAATTCGATCAATATGAAAAGCTTAGATGACATCTAGACTGTAGCTAGCCGCTTGCCAGAAGCAGAACATAAAAACAACAATAACCAAAAGAAACTCAGAAATGACAACGAGACGAAACGAATGGGCCTCCGAAAAATCAAGCCCAGGCAAGGCCCGGCCGTGTGTCTCGTGTGGTTTGCATTTGCTTGCCTTCGTCACTGAATCAGAGTCACTCTCGAGTCTCGGAAACCGTTCGTCGTCGGCGGCGGTCGAGAGGATGCCGGCGACGGAGGCGACGCTGACAAGCCGGTACGGCGCCTACTTCGCCAGGGCCACCATGGCGCGCAACATCCTCGCCCCCGTGGCCGGCACGCTGCGCGGCCACCCGTCGGAGCTC